TTTAATTAATCAAATGATAGTGATGGCACTTGAAGAGTTATTTTCCACATCGTGCCAAAATATTCAAGCCACGATCTGCTCACTAACATTTTACGGGGCAGGATGTGAAATAATGGGGTTGAATTTTTAGAAGGCAGATTCTAATTCAATCTTACTAAGAAACCTTTAATAATTGGAATAAATCCACCAGAGAGAGGGTAGTTTCCCCTTCACTCTGTTCAAATGAGACTAGAAATTCCTTTGTTGAAGATGCTTCGTTTTATATTCCTGCAGTGAACAATAGGTGAAATTTGGTAGTTCTATAATGATTTCAAAAATGTTCTGGATCTGAATTCTGAAGAGTAGCATCTGTTTTAGATAAGGATTCATACAGTATGTAGGTGGTTGGCGAATGAAGCAATATAACAGGTTTTTCTGCAGTCACTTAACGTGCATAAAGGTGATATACACATATTATAGGAAGACCTAGATATTGTTGCTTATAAAGTTTCATTGAACTACCTCTTCACTTCTGGCATGTTATCCTGCACCAAATGTTTAAGCAATGTAAGATACCTTAATTTTAGCGTTCAAAAATAATTTTGAAGGAACACTGTGAGAGAGAGTATTATTGAGTTTGAAATTAAATCCCTCATTGGCCAACTCAGGATCAGGAAGGCTCCAGGAGCTGACTTTATTTCGGCTGAATTACCAAAGAATAATATGGAGTGGTGGATACCCATCCTGGCAGCACTATTCACCTATATTGACTCCACAGGCCATGTCCTAGAGGATTGGGGCTTGGCAATTGTGATCCCAGTTTATAAAAAGGGAAAGAGAGACAACCTTGCCAACTACAGACCAATAAGTCTGCTAAATATAATCAGCAAACTCTATGCCAAATATCTTCAAGATAAATTAAAGGAGTGGCTGGATCTTGAGAACCTGATTGCCGAAGAACAAGCTGGGTTTAGAGAAGGGAGAGGCACCATAAATCAGTGCCTAGTTCTTCATCATTTGATTGAAAAATATGCATCAAATAGACCTGTGTCATTATACGCTGCCTTTATAGATCTTAAGGCAGCTTTTGACACGGTTACAAGGACTAAGCTATGGGAGAAGCTGGAAGCTGCCTCAATTGATCACAGAGTCCTCCATCTGTTACATGCCTTACATAACAAAACATCCCTCAAGGTGAGGTGTAATATGCAAGGGTCTCTCTCGAGGTCAGTTGAAACTCAAACGGGGGTTAAACAGGGGTGCATTTTGGCCTCCTTGCTCTTCAATTTTTACATAAATGATATGATAAAATGGTTAAATAATCCAAATTACCACCCCCAAAAAATAGATGACCGAAGCATTGCTCTGCTGCTCTATGCAGATGACACTGTGATTCTCTCCAGGACTCTAGTTAGCCTTAAAAGAGTCTTGCGAGCCCTTGTCCAGTATTGCAAATATAATAAACTGGACATAAATTATGAGAAAACAAAGGTTATAGCTTTTGCAAAAAGGCCAAAACGGTACTCATGGTATTTAAATAGCCACAAAATAGAGCAGGTAGCCACCTTTAAGTACCTAGGGATGGTCATCCATGCCACAGGCTCACAAAAAGCCCATGGAGAATACGCGGCTGCCTCTGGCCAACGATCAGCGAATGCCATTCTTAATTTTTTCTGTACAAAGAGAGGACACTATGTTCCAGCTGCAATTAAGCTGTAACACTCTATACATGGGGCTCCCTGTGAGGAGCATCCGGAGGCTTCAACTGGTCCAGAATGCGGCCGCGCGGGCGGTGTTGGGAGGGACTCGTCGCTCCCACGTAACACCGCTGCTGCGCGAGCTGCACTGGTTACCAGTGGCCTTCCGGGTGCGCTTTAAGGTGTTAGTTACCACCTTTAAAGCGCTCCATGGCATCGGACC